GGAGCAGCAGACTTTAATGCAATACCAGCATTTGTAAGTTTTTCAATTTGTATGTGTGTGTGCTTTATTTTAACAATAAGTGCAGCAATGTGTTGGTAACGCAGCCCCCCCTTACTGTGTCTCTCTCCCCGCACAGTGCCTGACCCCGCCCTACAGCCCTTCTGATTTTGAGATGTCGCAGGTGGCCCATGTGGGGACACCCCTGCCTGCTGCAGCGCTCAGCAAGTCACCCTCCGAGGCTGCCAAGCCTCCTCTGGCCGCATCTCGGAGGGAAGCGGAGAGGCCTCCAGCAGCCAGGCCTCTGAAGGCTCAAGCGACCAGTGTTATCCGCCACACGGCTGATGCCCAGCTTTGTAATCGCAGAACCTGCCCGGTGAGAACCGCCAGCGTGCTGAAATACCAGGACAGCGTCTCGAGGGAAGCACGCAGTAAGCGAAGCGCAGAAGCAGAACAGTCGGCGCGTCCCACTGACGCGCCGAGCAGAGCCGGTGATGATAGCGGTGAGCTGCCAGCGGCAGAAGGGAAACCCGCAGAACTCGCTGTCGGTCCGGTGCCCTTGGCGAAGCCATCGGCAGGGGTGGCACTGCCGTGCCCTGCCCAAGGCAGCGGAGCTCCCCCCGTGCCAGTGATTTGCCAGATGGTCCCGCTGCCTGCGAACAACAACGTTGTGACGGCCGTGGTGCCCAACACCACACCAAGCCAGCAGCCGGCTCTCTGTCAGCCCATGGTCTTCATGGGCCCTCAAGTTCCCAAAGGTGCCGTTATGTTTGTCATGCCCCAGCCGGTTGTGCAGAACACAAAGGCTCCCATTATTAGTCCGAACGGCACGAGACTCTCTCCCATTGCCCCTGCTCCCGGCTTCGTACCTTCTGCAGCAAAAACCACTCCTCCGGTTGTTGATTCTTCAAGAATAAGAAGTCACATTTGCAGCTACCCAGGATGTGGGAAAACATACTTCAAGAGCTCCCATTTGAAGGCTCATGTCAGAACACACACAGGTTGGTCGCTGTTGCTGGATGTTAAAAATTAATGTAGAAAATTACAGCTACATACACAGCTTGTTAAGGTTCTAGTGCTTACCAGATCGGTTCACGGAACAAACTGTGAGGCAGCAATGAAATACTTTCTTTGCCAGTGTGTATCATAATGGTCTCTGACAGGAAATCTCCCGGAGGGGAAGTTGACTCAGCAGTTTGTTTGTGCTGGACTGGCTTCATGTCAGAAGGCATTCAGTAACGCTTCGTACCAGGATGGAAGCCAGGCCTATGTGCACTATCCTTTTCCAGAGCTAAAGGTGGCTGATTAGGCCTCTCCACAAGAATGCCTTTGTCAGAAGTGGGTAAAACTTAGAGAATCTTTTATGAAAGAATGTAAGGAGCCACTCCAAACTATTCCTGCCTTGGTTATTTTAGAGGAACTCCTCTGCGCCCCAGCTCTTAATGGCAGTGGCAGAAAGTCATGTGCATTTTTACGTAGGCTCACAGTGCAGTACCAGAGCTCTGTTACATAAAACATTATCACAGGTTGCGTTTCGGGGGTAGTTCTGGGCATGCTGAGTCATCATAATCTGCCGTTCACGTGGAGCTGACAGTTAAAGTTGGCTGTCTGGAGATGTAAAGAGCATCTCAAACTATTTGGTTTCCAGAGGATTGTTAACCCTTGGTGCTACTTAGCCTTGAGGACAGTGAGTCTGCATGCTTAATATTGGTATGTAAACACTTTTTAATATTTCATATATTAAAAAAAATAATATTTCTGTAGATTTTGGGCTCAACTCTTGTAATAAAAACTTTTCTTAAAAAAAGTCAAATCCTGCCAGTTAAGGCAATAGCGTTTGTTGCTCAGTTAGTACTCATGTTTTAGGTTTTTTTCTTTGTCTTTTTTTTTCCTTTAGGAGAAAAGCCGTTCAGTTGTAGTTGGAAAGGCTGTGAGAGAAGGTTTGCACGGTCTGATGAACTGTCTCGCCACCGCAGAACGCATACTGGGGAGAAGAAGTTTGCCTGCCCGATGTGTGAGCGGCGGTTCATGAGGAGCGACCACTTAACAAAACACGCGCGTCGCCACTTATCGGCGAAGAAGCTGCCAAACTGGCAAATGGAAGTGAGCAAGTTAAACGATATTGCCCTGCCGCCAGCATCTGCGACCGCACAGTGAAAGGACTTACTCTGAAGATGGTGGAATTAACTGTTGCTGCTGGGATATGCCAGCTGGAAAAAGGCTTTTGCTCCCGGTCTGTGGTTCTCCCACAGCAGCTGCTGATGGCAGTGCAGCAGAGGGGCAAAAAAAACATTGCTGGGAGAACTGGTGGCTGACTGGAGTAGTGGGTGTCTTTTGCACTGGTAAGGAGAGAGAGAGAGAGAGAGAAAGGGAAGGCTCTAGAGCAGAGCAGCACACATTGTGCCAGTTTTGAATTTTGCAAATTATTCGTATGTCCTCTAGATCAGTCACACATGAGTGTTACTGGAGGTTTGCTGCTGACGCTTGAGACCAACTCGGATTTTAACTTTCAGTGGTCCGTCTTCAGCACAGCACAGACTAGGAAGACAGCAATGTACGGGGGCAGGCTTGAAAGCCCAGAACACACCTGCGTCAGATAATCTAAATGGGTTTTCCTACTTCTGCCACCTTTTCTCAGTAGGAATCTTTTCCTCCTGTCTGCTCTCCAGCCCAATTATAAGCAATGGTTTGGTGCCAGATTCCTGGAGATTTTAGGCCTGTCCTCCTGCATGGGGTGTTTCAGACACCCAGCTTTATACCGCTGCTCAGGGTGGGCGTCCAGGGGCACCACGTGGGCAGCTGGAGGGTAGGAACCTCTGAATCCTCATTAGCTTTGCAATATTTTCCCAGCTGCTTTGGCAGGCTTTGTGATTATTACAGTTGGTTGTACCTGGGCATCGTACGACGCTTCAGCTTTTGTGTTGCTCACGGTTTCCTTCCTGCCTTCGCACTACCCTGTACCACTGCGTTTTTCATGAGTGGATATAGTGCACTTTTAAGAGAAACATGTAACTGTAAACCACTTGGGTTGATGACAGAAGAAAACCAAGAATCTTAGGCTTCTTGATAGTCTTATTCTTTGGAAGATGGTTTATAGTAAAAATGAAATGCATACATTATGTATTGTATTAAATTAGAAAGTTGTGGTTTGAAAAGTAAAACAGGCAGTAAAGACACCGGCCTAGAATTTAAACTAGCTTTTGTGACAAATAATGCATCAACTTTCACTATTTCTATTTTATCATATTATATTGAGGACACATATCAGAAAGTAAACAGTTTGAAAATTGTGTATTAGAGATGCTTTTTGTGACTACTTTAAAGATTTGCACATTTCTTATGTTGTACTTTGTACTTTGTTTACAATAAAACCAATTTTCTTTAATACAGACCTTTCTTTTCTTTCTCTGTAGCAGAATGTATCCCGTTGCAAGGAAAATAACCTCAAAACAAAGCATAGTGTCCATCCATATCTGTCCCTGACCAACGAAACACTGTTTCTCAGACTTTGATATTTTTTTTAAGCTCTATAAAGCCAACACGAGTTGAATTTCAAGTCTTTCCTTACTACTCTGAGTCTCTGGTTTGGTTTTTGTTTTTCTCCCTGTTCTTCATCCCCGCTCCTTTTCTCCAAGCACCCCAAAATAAATGTTCTTACGTGGGCCGTTACAACAGTGGTGAAAGATACTTCCTTTTTGTTGGTGATGGAACCCCGCTGCCTTCCCCAGGATGGAAGCCAGCCCCAGTTTCTGATGGCCAGGCCAGCAGGTGGAGATGGGGAGTGTCACCCCAGGATCCCGGTCCCCCGCAGCATTGCCCAGGGCCAGCCAGGCACGGTGCTGGTACAGATGCGCCCTTGCCGTGGCTGTTCTCCGGGGCTCTGTCCTCGGAGCTGTCTCCCATGGGAGGCTCCTGCAGGCAGGAGGGCAGGGCGGTGGGGTTGTACCCTCCCAGGGCCGCGGGGTTTCTCTGCCTCCTGCTCCCTGCGTGAGGGGTGGCCACTTCGGACTGGGTGGGGGCTGCTGTCAACTCACGGCCCTGCCCCGCGGGGTGTTTGGGAGAGGGGCACTCCTTACCTTATCCTATTTGACGCAGTGCCCTGTGTAGGAAAAAGCCTGAGTCATCACCCTTTCTTCCTGTTCCAGAGGGAATACGGCATCGCAGCACAATACAAAAGAGATGCTTCCCCAGGAGCCTCCATCACATCCTGCTTCAAGGTATTGTACGTTTCATAGGCATAAGATAAAATACTGGATCAGCTCTGGGTCTGAAACCCTTCGGTGTCTGCAGCTAGCCATTGGGCTAGGAAGCCAGGTTCCCTCTCCAGCTCTGGCTACTGAGTCTTGAATCCAGTTTTGTGCCATGACCCCACATGAGGAGAGCATAATGAAAGTGCCACCCCCACTGTTGTCCTGCCTGGCTGTGGCTTTCCTCGTCGCCTCCACCCAAATGTGGGCTTTGAACCCCCTGTAGCGCAGCAAGGAGCCGACCTTAAACCTGACTTCCCAGGCAAGTGCTCTCGTGCTGCCACGCAATAAACGGGGAAAAAAAGGAGTTTCTGTGCCGTGGCTGCCTCTGCTGCCCGTGTTTTCTGAAGAAAATCAGCTGCTGGTGACGTTTGTGCAGCACCTCTGGAGGTGTGTGCGGGGCCCGCCCTGGGAGCACCCGCTGGGCAGACTGCAGAGGAAACCCTCTTTCTGGCACTGCTGGGAGCTAAATAAAATACCTGTTCTCACTCTAAATACAGAATTTGACAGTAAAAAGTGCACTTCTGACTGGTTCCAGCTGAAGGCAGAGCTGTAATTGTGAATTTACCTCACATGCCATTTTTTAAAGCTTAACCAACTGGAATTAAACCAGCCATTTGGGAGTTTAATCCAAGTCTCACCTGAAAAATGTAGTTGAAAGGACATTATCAGACACCTTTTCAATGCTGACTTTATTGTGCAATCAAATTTGGTTGCATAGTAGGAAAATTATTTTTTATTAATTTTCTACAGATTTCTGTGAATTAATTAGGTTTTCTTTACTCTATGTAAACCAAAACCACATCTCGTATTTGGTCCCCCTGTTTGGCTTTAATGATGAAGCCAAACAGAAATGCAAACGAAAGCGCCCTCAGCAAGCCCCCACAATTGGTACTTGGATGCCAGTGCTGGTGGGCTGTGGTGGGGCCTGCTGGGGCAGCCACCGCTGTCTATTTCTGTGCAGACACCCACCTCCGGGGAACCAATCCAAACGGATCCAGGAGATCAGCGTATATTCTTGGAAGCAGATTTCAGAAGTATCTATGAACCCTTCACCCTTCTGCTTAGCACTGATCTCCAAAGTGATGGGCATGCAGCGGTGACATCGATGTGCTGCAGTAGTGACATCAATTATGTGGGTTGGAGCAAGAGACGGTCCCTGTCCTGGTGGGCAAGAAAGAGCAGCTAAGGTCTCACAACAAGTTGTCCTGGGAAAGGAGGGAGCGAGCCACCGTGTCCAAAGCAAAGCGCTAGAACCCCACGCTTGGTATGCCTTCATTGCCGATGGGTGCTGGGGGAGATGGGGCCGTTGTGGGGGCAGAGGGTGCCTGCCCACCCTGGGTGTCACGCAGGCGGCTTGGCAGGGCTGGGCAGGACACACTGGGGGCTTTGGGATCTGGTTATCCCACCCCCTGGCTAAATCAGCGTGGATAAGCGATAGGGGACTGCGGTGCTCAGCGCGTGAGTGCTGAGTGTGCCTTCACCAGTGCTCAGGGGATTTTAACCTCTTCAGAGAGAAGAGCGAGAAGGCTGGAAAAAGCAAGCATTTTCCCTTGTGGTTTGGAGAAGAATAATTTCCATTACAGCAGGAGTATTTGTGGAAGGCTTAGATGCTCTACGAGTGAACTAATATATATTTTAAAAGAAGAGGGTTCCTGAGCTGGGGCAGCTTGTCTGGAGCCACAGACACAGCTGAGATGAGAACCAGGGCAGCCTGTCTACCCAGCCTGTCTGCAGAGCTTGGCTTTCCAAGGCTTCTCCCCTCAAGCTTTACCAACCAAGGGTGCTGTTTCAAGACACCCTTAACCAACCGGTCCTGTGGTCCTGGCAGAGGGTCCGCACAGCCTTGGTGCCAGGGCGGGTGCCACAATGCAGACATGGCACATACCCGAGAGCTGAGAGGAAGGGCTTTGTCATCGGCTGGCCTGAGGCTTGCACACCGCATGCAGAGGCGCCAGGTATTCCCCTGGCAACTCCCCATTTTTACTGTAAATAGATGATTCATTTGTCTGCTTTGGCAACAAACTTTGATCACCAAGGAAACACTCGCAAGCTGTCAGAAAAGTTAGAGCACAAAATTAGGTCAAGAGAAATGAAGAAGGGATGAATATGTGTATTACGGGCTAAAGCTCCCTGCCATTCTGTACCACAGATTTTCTGCAGAAGCCTTTGCTTCTTCTGAAGCACGTAGTTGGGTGTGTGGGGGGAGTAATATTCAGCTAGAACAGATGTTTTTGGAATACGTCTTATGATGTAATTGAGCATGTCACACAGAGCTTACGTGTCTTTTCTAATGATATTGTGATCTGGAACACTTTCTGTTTTCACCAAAAGAAAATGTGATACTTAGGCAATAAGGAGAGCAAAACATGTCTTTATCCATCTCATATTCACAAGAAGACAGAGGCTAAACTTGCTAATGCACTTGCTGAGTTGTGATAAAAATCAAGTAAAAATTGTACAAAATGTGTTAAGTAATTCAGAACCTTTGTTAGGGCACCACAGTTTTGACTAAACTTTCTACTTCCTTGTGTATTCTACACTGAAAGTCAAAGTAATTGGTGAAAAAAATTCTGCTGTTACCACTACTTCAACTACTTAGAGAGTTTTGGTAGGTGTCAAGGTACTTGCATGACAACAGCTTCCCAAATAAACCAATGCAGCAGTCGTGGGGAATGCCCGTGCGCTAACAGCTGCGGGGAGCAGGGCACGAGCAAACCCCGCCTCGGCTAAATATTCCCCAGGGCCTCTGCAAAATTTAAATGGCTTTGAATAGTGAGGCTTATAGTGTCTCCTCTCTGCCCAGCTGGCCTCCTGTCTGCTTGCAACACATGCAGGAGGAACTGATATTTGTGAAGTTTATTTTTTTTTCAAAGCCTTTGCAAACCTCTCATTTCATTAATGCTGGCT